TTTTTTTTTTTTTTTTTTGAAAGTCATTAACAGTTAAATTTTACTCTCAAAATCTTTTAACTCCTAAATTCTGTTTTTCTTTTTTTCCTTAGTGTCATTTTATATGTAGATGATTTGTCTAGCTCAGTACGGGCAATAATAATGATATTGCTATTAGCAAACAACTACGATTACACACTTATGCGATTCATGGAAACGAGACTGGCAATTTCGTGGTGCTGCAATTGCTTCGTCGGTTTTAAGTCTGTTTTTCTGCATTCATATTTGTTGGTTTTCAAGAATCTGATGGTTTTTTTGTTGTTTTTATTGTTGTTATCGTCGTCGTCATCGACAACGTTGTTACCGGCGACTTTCAACCTTCTATTCATCTGATTAACCTTGTACTTGTTGCTGCTTTTTTTTTTTTGAAAGACATAATCTTTTTTTTTCTTTTCTTCTCCTTTTTTCTTCCTTTGTTGCTACTTAATCGGAATCTATGGAAGAAAGAAGGAAAACTAAAAGACTTGGTTTATTCGCGAACTGGCCATCAGCTGCAATTTTATCCGGTTTCCCGGAGTGACGACGTGGAAGCGTGTCACAACAGAAACGACAGCAACAGCATTAGCGGTGGCGATAGTAGTAATGGTAGTAGTTTAAACAAAATCTAGACCAATTTCAATTTGCTCTCTCGTTTTGTTCACATTAATAAGCATGCGTTTATTAAGTATTTGTTGCTCAAATTGTTTTTTCCACATTTTTTATTTAAAATATGCAGGTGATTTTTCTGTGGTTATTATTCTGCAGAAAAAAAAAGAGTGAGTAAAGGAGTAAGCGAAAAAAACAGTAAATAGAAATTTTTTTCTTACGTTTCAAAAAATTTCATTTTTATTTTAACGATCTATGAAAGAACTTCTGCTTCAAACGTAAAAAGAAGATAAAGATTGAATTTGTGAATAAAATGCAGTTACCACTTGTTTTTCACAGGCTTCAAAATCCAACCTTTTCTCCTTAACCGCTTCCAATGGTTTTTTTTTCTGTCTGTAACAAGAAAGATCACGAAAAGGCAAAAACAGAGTTTACCACAATACCTGAAACGTCATCATTATCTGATAGATACTGAGGTGTTCAGATAAAAGGGTTAGTCTTTTACTTTGTAACTGTCATGGTCGATGGCAACAACAACAACAACAGCAACACCGAAGAACGGTGAAAGCTTCATTTGTTCCAGGTATTTTGTATGTTGTTTGACCTGTCCATCTGAAGTGCTCTGGATACCAGACGTGCAAATGCATAGCAACAAAAAGGATGAAGAAGAGAACAAAACAATGAATTACCTTTTTCTTCCAAATTTGTCTACAAAGCATTGTCGGAAAACAGTAAAATAATTTGTTTTACATATTAAAATACAATTTAATCTGTAGCTTGCTTTCAAGTTTATAGTTGGAGAAAGAAAAGCATAAAGTTTAAAGTTTATCTGAGGCGAAAAAAAAACTATTAACAACAACAACAACACCAACAACAGCAACAACTGAATAGCTAAAATATGAGTAGCTTTTTTCTCAGTTCACTCTTTGCTTTTCAGTTGCAAGTTTCCGTCTAATGTCTTTTGACACGCGCACCACTTTATTATTGACATTTAGGCTGTATAAAGGAGGACAAATCAAAAACGAAGAAAGGACTTTCCGGTAGTTTGTGGTGATGATGGTGTGGTAAAAAATTGCAAAAAAGGGAAAAGAGGGGTGGAGAATTAAAGAAGGGTAGAAAAGGGAGGGAGCTGACGAAAGGACGGGACCACTGGGTGTCTTACCATCAAATGTTTCACAAATTTTGTTGCTTTTTGTTGTTTCTCCACGTTACAGGAGAAGAAAAGAACTTAAGGAGATGGATTGGTTCTGCTTTATTCCTTTTTTTCCGCGAAACGTTCAACATTTTAATTTAATTGCTGTATTTCGCTTTGTTGTTACCGCTATATTAATCGGTAGTTTGTATAACCAGTGGCTTCGTGAAAAAAACTTAAAGGAGAAGTGATGTTCGGTTTTAAAAGCCTATTTATTACACCGGTAAATAGAAGTCGATAAATTAATTTTATTCTTTTTTTTTAATGTACTATAGGCTAATTTTCGTTGATTTATGCTGGCCATAAACTGAGCAGAAGGAGGTGGAAGGAGAGACGGAAGTAGAAGGAAGACGAAAAAAGAAGAAAAGGAAAAAAGGTTTTGGTGACTGGGTAAGGAAACGGATGGAACGTAAAGAAAGGGGGTATGACAGGAGGTGGGCATAGCTTTTGGTCGGCTGAATTAGTGCAGTTTTGAGTTGGCGGTGATCGAATTGTAAAAGAAAATGACAGCAGTGATAAGCATAAAAACCAAAAAAGGTTAAAACTTTTTAGGACATTGAAAAAAAACTAATTTTTGCCAAATTTGA